CATCCTTAGAAATCAAGTTCCGGCTCTCATAGACCCCTCGCTAGAGTCTAAATGACCCTTTTTTTCCTTTCGGATTGAGTTTGAACAAATTTTCTAATTTTTTACTATTTTTCTTTTACATCATCTTGAAATCCAACATCGAAAACCCTCGATAAAACCTCGGAAGCTTGAGCTTTTAAGAAAAATTGGGTAATTAATCCTAGTCAACACTCGAGTCTTCCAAAAACCATGATTCCCAATCTAGATCCACATATGTTCTTTGATCACCTCTTATGGCGACCTTGAGCGCTAATTACCAACACAAAAAAACGTGTGATTACACAAATTCATTTGCAGTATTTATCCAACACGAAAACGCTTAACTCATTTTATCCATACCGACAAGGTAAACTCTCATTTTACTCACAAATGTCTCAACTCAATCGTAACTCATAATCTTAAATAAATACGAACGCTTAGGACCCAAAAAGACGTAAAAGTCTATGGTCACAAATTTTTGCAGTCAAATCATATAGTAGATAGTGAATTTTGTGTGGCCATAAATCTTTCCACTTTACTCGATGTGAATTACAAAGGTCTTTCAGGACGGTGAAGTTCAAATCTCGCTGCTTAAGCGAGTCATTGGCTAAGATTCATTCTTGTGCACGAAGTGAAAGCAGAGTTAATGAGCCGTGTAGTAGGAGACTATTTGACACGGTTTGGGGGCATTTGAGTCAACCATCAACGCCTATAATAGGTCAAGGTCACCGCTAATAGATGGTTCGGGGGCATTTGAGTCAGCCATCAATGCCTGTAATAGGAAAGACCATCGTTAGTAGATATTATACACTTCGGCCTGTTATACATCGTTGTCAACTTCATAGTTTTAAAACGTGTTTATTAGGGAAAGGTTTCAACACTCTGGAGAGGTTTCCACACACTTAATAAGGAATGTTTTGTTCATTTTTCCAACCAACGTGGATGTGGGATCTCACAATCCACCCTCTTGGATTTGTAATAGACCAAGTTCATCACTAGTAGATATTGTCTACTTCGACCCGTTACATATCGCCATCAGCCTCACGTTTTAAAACACGTCTACTAGATAGAAGCTTTCACATCCTTCTAAGCAATGTTTCGTTCCCCTCTCCAACCAATATCGGATCTCACAATGCTCGACTGTGTCTTGATCCCTATATCCATCTTTCAGGCCAATTTCTTCTTCGTACCACCAAAAAATAAGACTCTTGTCAAATCCAAATTTGCTACTCTTACCATTACCAAACTAATACACGCATGTTTAGTACTTCACTCGTTTCCGTGACATATAATGTAAATCTCTCTATTACAATTTTTACTTTCTATTCAAATTTAATTAATCAATGCAATAAACTTTCTAAAATTAGAATTATTGGAAAATTATAAAAAAAAAATAATAATAATAATTCAAAGCTTATGACATTACATTCCAAAGAGGAAGGTTGGTAGGCCATTAATTGCTTCAAAATGAAGGTGTTGGAAGATTATTAGCCACAATTATCCAATAGTGTTCTTATCTTTTTCTTTGAAATTTTGTAGGGAGAATAATTTATGTTATATATATATATATATATATATATATATATATATTGGAGTATAATAATTTCAGCATTGAATTCATAGGAATTTAAACAATTTATTTGTCCCACCTTCTTAAATGCAAGGCATGTTAGGGTTGGAGTAGGCAAAATGTTTCAATCTCTACATTAATGTGTGTAGTTAAGATGATAAGAACCCATAAGAACTTTTGAGAGTGCACTTTTTCAAAAAGTGCTTTTGAATTCATAAGGAATTAATAAAAACTTTTAATAACAAGCCCATGTGAGGAAAATCTTTGTAATAAATTGCTTATGCTAGTGTTCGTTACGGCCTCTCGTTGGTTTTTGGAGTTCGACATCGATTTATCTCAATCTTGAAAGAAGAGATCGACGATCCGAATCACATTTGCAAAATGTTAGTACCATGCTGCTGTTTCAAAGCCAATGTGATGCTCCTTGGTCAGATGACCAAGATATTGATGAATACCACATATGATCAAGAAAAGAGAAAGGTAGGACCATAAATACTATCCGAAATAGTGAAGGGTGCTTGATAATATTTCATTTCTTGAAAGCATTTGAATACTAGAGGCAGTGAAACCGTAGCTACTAAAGCGTAAACGGCTCGTTTTTCCTTCTCCGTGAGTATAGCATGAGGAGCTCAAGTTAGGGTAGCTCCGGATGAAAGGAGAATAGGGGTGCGTTAGCCTCACGGTTTTTAAAACGCGTCTGGAGCATACACCCCCTCCCCTTGGTGACTCAGCGTCCTCATTGGCACACCAATCGGTGTTCAACTCTAATACCATTTGTAACAATCCAAACCCACCGCTAGTAAATAGTCTTCTTTGGCCTGTTACATATTGTTGTCTGCTTCGCATCTGAGTTTTATGTTTCGGATGTTGAAAATGCTTCTACCTCAACTCGAGATCGGATGTTTAATAATAATCAGGCAATCGAGAGTGTATGTAATTGACTCTATTTTTTTTGTTTAATCTAAATATATAATCGTTACTATACACATATCATTACATTTTAATTTGATATCAACCAATTTTTTTTTTTTTTTTTAAATTTTCAGAGTTTTAAAGAAAATATTTGAATAATTTAAAATATGTTGGAAGAGTTCATCTTCTTAAATAGTAAGAAATTTAAATTATTAATTTATTTCAAAAGTGTTTACATAGAAAAATTAATTTTATTTAAATAATTTTTTTTTTCAAAAGCTAGATCAATAATATTTTAATCAATATTTTGTCATCATCTTTAAATCCTATCTGGAAGTTTCTAAAGAAATAATTTTTTAGTTCATAAGATTTTAAAATTATTTGAATGCAGACAAGTAGCAACAGAATATTGGATTTGATGAATATTATAACATTATCCAAAATAACTTTTTTTTTTTTTTTTTTTTTGTTGAAATATTGAAGGAAAAAAAAAAGATATTTGAAAATTCAAACACTAAAATTTAAGAGCTCAAACTCAAATGAGATCCAAACCTTTTTCTTTTATTTATTTTTTTTATCAATTTAATTTTAATTTTAAATAATCTTCCAAAACTATATAAAAATAATTACGATTTTAGTGGAAAGGAAAAAAAAAGTTGGAAAGGAACGTGTTCTTGCCTCATGCGGTTTGGTAAGGGCTGAAAAGCGTGAGTTAACGAAGCAAAGATGCACAAATTTCAATCGATTTCATAAATCTGCTCAACAAATTGCATCCAGATGACCTAATTGCAAGAAAAGGAAAGGAAAAAAAAAAAAAAAAAACAGAGAGTCTAAACAATCCAAAGCTCTGAAACGGATCGGAAACAGAATCAGAGTAAGAACGAAATGAAACGAAAATATCACTTCCATGTACAACAGCGAAGAGAGATTCAACATTCCAGATTCAAGATTCAAGATCCTAAACACAAATTTAACAACGCAAATCGATCGAATCTCCAAAATCAAACAAAAGCACAAGCAGTAGCAAAACAAAAGCCTCAAATAATCCGCTCGACTAGAAGAAGAATCAAACGGAATCTACCTGGAATACGAAACGCGGAATACAGAGCCGAAGACGCGTGAGAAGGCAAGGCGAAAGCGAGGATAAGCTCTGTGCGTATGAGTGGCTGTATGACGGAAAAGACCTTCCAGAGTTTCGACGAACAAATTTAGGCTCCGAATCGGCGGCACATAGAACGTCAATGGCGCTGCCGAGAAAGCGACGGCGAAGAACAGCTGAAGCATTGGAGCTTTCCTTGGATCAGAGATTAAAAACAGAAAAAAGAAAAAACTACAAAAGATCGACGGAATTTCAAGCGAAGGATTGCAAGTGAAGATCGAAGATGAAGGATGAACTATATTGTTTATCCGAATTGAAAACGGTGGGAAAAATTGAAGGAACGAGAGCCCACTGGAAGGGATTTCCTGCTCTGGTTTTGTTTGAGAAGAGGTCAATGGAGAAGTTTTGTAATTAAGTAGCGTTTGGTGGAGTGAAGCTCATCATTTATAATATTTTAATTCTTATTAGAAGAAATATTTTGCTTTTTCTCTTAACAAATATTTTAATAATCTTAGGATAGGTGTATTCTCGTTCATTTTCCACCAAAAGTCAAAAATTCAAATTCTCGTTCCTTATATTATTGATAAAACCTACTTCCGATTATTAATTCTTAATGGTATTCATATGACCCGAGAACTTAACCAACTCGGACTAATAAAAGTTGAGTTGAATTAAATTTTTTTTCGGTTTGGGTTGGGTTGACTTTTTGGTATTTTTTGGTTGGGTCAACCCAAAAAACGAGGTTGCAACCCAACTCAGCCTTACCTACTTTAAAAGGATTTGTAATATGTTGTAACTTGTGAATGTCTGATACTTAACTTTTATGAGATTTATTTAAATTTTATGAGATTTAATTATTAATGTAACACATATTGTACCTAAATAGTAAAAAAATTTGACAACTCTACTCGAAAATAGAGTGTTGGATTAAACTGGACTGTGAACTCTAGTTGAGTTGCTCAAGTTATCAACCCCGAAAAACAATTTAGAGATATCTTCAAGCATACATATGTCCTTTATTGTCGTCTTATTTTTATTTACTTAGATTATTTACATACACATATTTATATAAATATTTAGTGAACTATAACATACCTCTAAATCAACAAACAAAAAAATGGGAAAAAAAAATCAAAGGTCACGGCTTCAAATCATGTTAATTCTATTAAGAAACATTGTAATTCGTATGTCGGTATAATTTTATTTTAAAAACGGAAGATAGTCTAAAACTAAACCTAAAATTACATCGAGACAATTAGAGGAGACATTCTTGAGAATTACGAACAGAACATTGTTTATCATACTTAGTATTTAAACGTGATAACGATTTCTAATTTAAAATAAGGATCAACTCGTGTATAACTCAACTGATTAAGACATGTGTTCGACTAAAGATTCAAATTTTCACACCAAAATCAATTCTTTTATATATATTAAAAACATCAAACACAATAATGCTAATTCCATAAGAATTTACAATAATCCCATTTAAACATATTCATATCGCCACATGGGAAAGATGAACAACGCATACGAACTCATGGAGAAAGCAAACATTGGAGCATTTTCTGGCAAATTTGTTGGACCTCAATTGAAGGATCTAAAGAAGATACACTCGACAGCACATCTCTTGCTTCTAGTAGTTCTCCAGAAATACAGTCCAAAATTGGATCTTCACTTGACATTAGGGATACCATCAGCTTAGCACCAGCTATCCTTTCCTGATGAACAGAGTAAAAAAGCAACCACATATTAGAATACAATCTTTATCCTTAGCGGAACAAATAATCAACAGCCGAGAATGTAACAGTTCAAGCCCACCGCTAGCTGATATTTTCCGCTTTGGTCCATTACATATCGACGTCAGCCTCACAGTTTTTAAAATGCATATGCTACGGAGAGGTTTCCACACCCTTATAAAGAATGTTTCGTTCCCTTCTCCAATTGATATGAGATCTCACAATTCACCTCCTTTCGAGGCCCAACGTCCTTGTTGGCACACCACCTAGTGTCCGGCACTGATACTAACTATAACAGCCGAAGCCCACCGTCAGCCTCACGGTTTTTAAAATACGTCTGCTAAGGAGAGGTTTTCCAAATTCTTATAAAGAATGTTTCGTTCTCCTCTCCAACTGATGTGGTATCTCACAATCCACCCCCCATAAGAGCCCAACATCCTCGCTGGCACTCGTTTCCCTCTCCAATCAATGTGGGATCTCACAATCCACCCCTCCTTCAAAGCCCAGTGTTCTTGCTAGCACACCATCTGGTGTCCACCCCCATTTGAGGCTCAGCGTCCTCGCTGGCACACCACTCGATATCTGGCATTAATACCAACTGTAACAGCCCAAGTGGTAGCAAATATTTTTTGCTTTGGCTCATTACGTATCGCCGTCAGCCTCACGGGTTTTAAAACGTGTATACTAGGGAGAGGTTTTCATATCCTTATAAAGAATGCTTCATTCTCCTCCCCAACCGACGTGGATCTCACCGAGAATCTTTTATAACTAAAGTCTTCTAATGATTATTAATCATTAGAAAGCTCTCCTTCTATAGTATTCCTTTATCCTTGCTTTGGACGGGGGTTATGTTATATCTACCCCAGACATCTATGTTGTTCTTTCAACATCTACTAAGGAATATTACGTTTCTTATAAAAAAAAGGGGGAAAAATAAAAAAAAAACAGCCGAAAGTCTGGTGATATGATTATGATGAATAGAATAAAAACAGCATTTACTGAAACTACTATGCATCATCTCTCATTTACGTCTAATTTTATACCTTTTCTTGCCCACTTTTCAGAGCGTTTACTGAGACTCTGAAAATATCATTAGCATAAGGTAGAATAGCTGACTTCAGATGATATACGGCTGAAAAGATGACTCCAATACATGCAGCTCTAATATCTACCTGTGTACTTGTTACCTACAACATTTGACACCCTCATGAGAATCCCAAAAAAATGAACATGGAAACACAAAAAATCAATCAAACCAGATAATAAAGTAACCTTGGCAAAAGAAACGAGACGTGGAAGAACTTCTCTAGCAAATCGTTTCTTCCTCGAATCTGAAAGCTTTTGGCAGGCGCTGATGAGCACATTTGCCATGCAGAGGCGAAAGGATACAGGAGTACAATTGTCGGCTGTGTTGTATTTCTGGTCCAAATCATAGGTTGAAACTAGTTCTTTTCTACCATCTATTAATTGATGGATCACATAACCCAGAATCGAACCTTTTACAGAGGCATGCCCTGTACGTTCAGCTCGTAAGGTCAGAAATCCACAAGAACTAATATATAATATACCTTACATTGGAAAATCAGTCACCTTTCTTACTGGAGGTGCTGCAAGTGTTCGGAGCTTGTAGTTCAGCACATATCATCAAAGCCATGAAATCAATGCACCCATGTTGTGATTTGGAAACTGATACATAAATTAAAAAATAATAATAAATCAGAGACCAGGATACTGTAGAGTAACGAAGAAGCAAAATCCAGATAATATGTCAACATACCTTCATCCCCATCCTGAGACGGCCATGATAGAACTACTTCCAAGGTTTTTACAATTTCAAATATGTCGAAATGTGAAGACATATGCTCGCCTCTTACCTATGAACCAAGAGAAATTGTATTCAGTAGCTGTTGTCCAAATAGATGAGAATATGCAAAGGTCGTAATGCAAAACAGCAGGTTTCCATGGACATGATAATGTTGACAGAAAATTAATTACCGCAAGGGACGTGCACATTGAAAAAAGGCAGGCTTTTATTCCTGGTATATTGTGAGAACCCACTGCATCTTCTAGTACCAAGCTAACATAAGGATAAAGCACCTAGAGAAAACAAGGACGTCAGGAAAATTAGAACATAATTGACTATACATTAGATAGCAAAAACCTCATGTTCGTATTATCTAAGGGCACCTGCGTAACGCTCATACGATCCACTCACGAACTCACCTACCTAATATATCTATTTGCCAACCCTGGAGAAGCTTCTCTGTAATTTTCTGTGGAATGTAGCAAATGACAGGAAAGGATTGCATTCCCTCCGCTAGGAAAAAGTGCAATTTCCTATAATAGGAGGGCTGGGAATTGTGGATTTAAGGTCGAAAAACAAATCATTACTAACCAAGCGGATTTGGAGGTTCTATTCTGAAAAAAAACAGAATGTGAAGGGTTTTTTATGAAAATTTTGGTAACCTCTTACTTCGGTCAAAAATCTGGCATTATATCTCTCAGTTCATCAAGAGGTACAAGGAAATGCATGATGAGGCGCCAAGATCGTATACTTTACAACATTTATAATGTGGTTGGAGCTGGTGCTTCCACTCTATTTTGGTGTGATTATGGATTGGCTCCTTGATTGATATTATTAATATCATCTTCCCTTGAATTAGTAACGAGGCAAAGATATTAAAGTTCAGTGTGGAATTTCAATAATCTTGCCCTTTGAAGGAATCCTTCCCAAGGCTATTTCCGCGCTATCAGAAAGAATGGAGCCATCACAGACTTGGAACCACGACATTGCTTGCTGGAATTTGGGTCTGAGGCTGTAACAACCCAGTAAAAATAATAATAATAATAATTAAAATAAAAAATCTAGTTGCTGGAAATTTGGTAATGTTCTAGCTACTCTAACGGATTTTTCTCGAATATCAAACCGTCCATCATCCTTCACCAACTTCTTCACCAAATATACTCAAAATAACACTCTAAATAGTCCCCGGAGTGTCATTGAATTTAAGAGGTGTTATTGGAAATTGAAGATTGATCCTAGAGGAACTTTCACAACCAAATCCATTAGCAGTAACATCACATCCAGAGGGGCTCAATCTTACAGATCCTATGCACTTATCTTTGGAGGGGGAAAAATACCCTAAGAAGATTGAACTTTTCATATGGGAGCTGTGATGGATGCAATAAAACCAATGATGTCCTTCAGAGGAAAGCTCCTTCATTGTCCATCTCTCCAAGTTGGTGTATCCTCTGTCGTGAAGATGCAGAATCCATCCAGCATCTTCTCCATTGTTGTCCATTTGCAGAGGTTTTCCAGAAGAACATCCTACTGACTTTTTATTGGTCCACTTCCCTCCCAGGTGACCCATAGATACTACTGGAATCATTACTGATTGGTCACCCGTTTTGCAAGGAAAAAGAAATCACGTGGTTAAATTTCATCCATGCTTTCCTTGGGTTTATTTGGTGGGGAAAAAATTGCACATTTGAAGACCAATTCACAGTTTTTTTTTTTATTGTCATCGGTAACACGTATCTTTATTTGCTCTCTTGTTATATTCACTCCTTAATTTCATAATTATTGTAACAGCCCAAGCCCACCGCTAGCAGATATTATCCTTTTTGAGAGCCCTTCCGAGCTTCCTCTCACGGTTTCAAAATGCGTCTGCTAGAGAGAGGTTTCCACACTCTTATAAGAAATGTTTCATTCCCCTCTCCAACCGATGTGGGATCTTACAATCCACCCTCCTCCTTGGGGGTCCAATGTCCTTGTTGACACACTGTCCGGTGTCTGGCTCTGATACCATTTGTAACAACCCAAGTTCATCACTAGCAGACATTGTCCTCTTTAGCCTTTCCCTTCTGGACTTCCCCTCAAGGTTTTAAAACGTGTCTGCTGGGGAGAAGTTTCCACACGCTTATAAGGAATGTTTCGTTCCCCTCTCAAATCGACGAGGGATCTCACAATTATAGTCTCACTTCTCTCATAGTCCATTGGAAAAGTTTTTTTTGTAATTCGTTCCCCTCTCTAATCGATGTGGGATCTCACAATCCACCCTCCTTAGGGTCCAGCGTCCTAACTGGCACACTGCCCAATGTCTGGCTCTGATACCATTTGTAACCGCCCAAGTCTACCACAAGCCGATATTCTCCTCTTTGGCCTTTCCCTTCCAGGCTTCCCCTCAAGGTTTTAAAACGTGTCTGCTAGGGAGAGGTTTCCACACCCTTATAAAGAATGTTTCGTTCCCCTCTCAAATCGATGTGGGATCTCACAATTATAGTCTCACTTCTCTCATCGTCCATTGGCAGTGAGAATACCTACTTTTATAATTTCATACTTTCAGTGAAATGAATGAAGGAATCTATAGTTTTATATGAATTCAAACCCATGGCTTCACATAGAACCTTTTTTAAGTCCTATGCAGGGATAAGACCATAAAATAATGTTATGTAGAATCACAATATTTAAAACGACAATCCTAAAGCATTCTGAACCAGTACTCAAACAGAAGAAAAAAGTAAGTGTTCAGCCACGATATTCCCAAAACGATAATGAAATAAAAGGTGATATTAAGAAAGATAGATTTCCAAGGAATTATATAATAGATGCTAGAACGTAAATAAATGTACTCCATAATTGATCAGAACTACGCTTTTCAAACAAGGCTAGTAGGCTCATGTACATGTCATATTCAAAATGTGCCCTCTGCCTTCAGAAATATACGACACTGTAAAGAATGAAGGTGGAATAGTCAAGAGTAGCTATGTCATACTTTGGAGAATTCTTACTGTTTAACTAAAACCAACAGAATCAGGGATACATATGTTCACCTTGTCTAATATCAAGCATCATGCAATAGAAGATATTAAAGAAAACATCATCCGCATATTTAAGCAATTGTACATCTTGATAACAATCTAGATCAGGTAAAACTGTAGTGGTATACCTGGGGATGAATGCGCCCACAAAGCTCAGCAGCCATCTTCCGTACATCATCAAATTCGAACTTGGAAAAGGCCCTGTAAATCAGGTAGAAAACATCAGGCACATAGCTACTCCAGTACCCCCCTCACGCACATAAATAAATAAATAAGATTTATCTTCTCCATTAACCTGTTTAATAAGAGCTCCACAACACACGTAGGATCAACAATGTCCATATCTGCAGACCATGAAACTAAGTAATTCAATTTTTAAGTACACAAATGGGGTGATATAGGTGTTTCTAGAATATGAAATGTATAGTGTTACTTTTAAAACAAAAAAAAAAAAAAAAAAAAAA